TGGCTAGTTTCATCATTGGTAAAACATGCAGGAGTAGACTAAATGATAGTCAATGTGTGCTATACACTGGAAAATCTGATTCTTGTAGAGCAAGGACTAGCAAACATTTTTTATAAAGTGCCAGATAAATATTTTCAGCTTCGTGGGCCAGAGAGTCTCTGTTACAGCTATTCAATTCTACCACTGTAGAGTAAAAACAGCCATAAACAATAAATGAATGGGCATGACTGTGTTCCAGTAAAACTTTATTTACAAAAACAGGCAGTTGGGTGGGTCTGGCCCACAGGCCATAGTTTGCCAACCTCTGTTGTAGAGAATCAAATCACATGTCCTCTAACTTTGTTCCTTACAAACTCAACAAATTCGTTGAAAGGAATTAATTATATTACTTCATTCAAGAAGAAATCCTGTTTTGTTGTCTTGTTATTAATAAACCAGGGAAGTCATGGACAAAATAAAGCTGATTATTCTCCCAAGCCCTCCCTGTTACCCATATCTTCTTTGCCATTCTGGTCATTTAGTAGAATACTGTCATTCTTCCAGTCTCCCAGTCCTTATAAAGTCTCTTGACATTAAGTCCTCTTGCTAACTCCAATCTCTTCTAAACCTAATATATCTTCTTTCTAAGCTTCCTAAAATACTGATATTGATATTGTCATTCCAATCCCTACCTTCAAAACCTTCCTAATTTCTACTGCATCAAGTAAGTTCTAATTCACTAGAGTTTCCAAAGCCTTCCCCTTCTCCCCACCCAACAGGTCTTATTTCTCACAAGACTTCAACATCCACTCTGCCATGGCAAGGTGTTCTCTAGTGGGCCTTAGCAACATACACATTCATTTCTCTGTCTTTACTACCAGTTATTCCCCAAACCATTCTTTCTACCCATCTGAACCCTACCATTATTTCAAGGTCTGAATCAAGGATCAATTTCTACAAAGGCTTATATGCCAGTCTACAAAGATTCTCCACACTTCTACTGAATTTAGGGGCAGTATCATACAGCTTAGTACTTATCTTCCTATATCTGTTGCTGGCAACCAAACTAGGCCATATACTCTTCTGTTTTTGCCAATACCTCACACAATGCTACAAACAAAATAAGTTTTAAATAAACAAAGGCTGAGACATTAAAGGAAAAGTTGTTACTGTTATAGAATGAAGAGGAATCAAGTCCATGATCTAGCATTTTTGCTTCTTCTGAAATTTTCTGGGTATGTGTGGTGCTGAATATAACCATTACTACAACTTAACTCTGATTACGTATCCCAAACAAAATATTACAACTGTTACTGGATATAAGTGGTCTCCTATCTCCTTACCCTTCCCAATACGGCAAATAAAAAAATTAGCATATGGACTTATAATTAGTCTCTTATGAATGAATGCCTATTTCCCTGCTAAATATTCTTCTAGAATGTAGGGATATCGTAGTGAACAAACCAATGTCTCCATCCTTACAAAGTTTTCAACCTAGTGGGAGGAAACAGAAAAGAAGCAAATATGATGTCTAGCAGAAGCAGTAATATAAACATAAAGAAGAAACAGGTAAATAAGGGGACAGAGAGTGACAGAGGCCATTTTAGATGGACTTCTATATATTTATAATAATGATAACAGGTATTGAAGGAAAAAAGGACAGAGTAGGGGGATAGGATACTATTTTTTTTTTCTTTTATTTACTTGAGAGAGCACGCATGCACACAAGCAGGCAAGGAGCAGAGGGAGAGGGAGAGAGAATCCCAAGCAGGATCCACAGCAGCATGGAGCAGAACCCAGGATGTGAGCTCACGACTGTGAGATCATGACCTGAGCCAAAATCAAGAACCAGATGCTTAAACCCATGGAGCCACCCAGGGACCCCGAGAGGAAACTATTTTAGAAGGGACAGTGAGGAAGGTCTCTGACAAGGCAATACTGAAGTGAGATGTGAACGAGCCATCCCAACTATCTTGTGGGGAAGGGCATTCTAGACAAAAGAAATGGCAACTACAAAGCTCTAAGGCAGGAATGTGTTTGGTTTGTTTAAACAAGAGCAAAGACAAGGTGGCTACAGAGCAGTGAGTGTTAAGTGGTACAAGATACTGTCAGAGATGCTTAGAGAAGTCGCCAGGAGCTATGACACACAGAATAAAGACTTCTGGATTTATTCTGAAGACTGGATTTATTCTGAAGAAGACGGAAAGCTGTTGATCTGGGAGTGACAAGGGCCCACTTTACATTTTAAAGAGATTATTCTGGTTATTTCTGGTAAGAATAAAATGTAGAGGGCAGGAGTGAAAGCAAGTAGGCGAGTTCAGAGGCTTCTGGATTAATTTTTGTAACACAAGGCCTAACACAGCATTTGGTACATAAACCCTTAGGTATTTATCACCTAGGATGATATATATTAGCCTGTATTTTTAATATTAGTAGTAGTATACCAAACTCAGGTTTGAATCTCAGCTTAACCACTTTAAGCTCTGTAAGCATGAACATATTACTTGATCTGATCCCCATTTTCCTCACCAATAAAATGGAGCTAAGAGTCGTGAGAATTAAATGTGACAAAATATGTATAAGGCATTCAGCATAGTGCTTAACATACAGTAAGGACTAAAAAAAAAAAGATAGCTGGTTATTCACTACCTTCCCCCCTCCACCTGCAACACTGCGACTGGACAGCAACTGACTTCATTTGGAAGAAAGCGCATAAAAACAAACAAAGCCCTAATATCAGGAAGATCAGGAGGCTAGTTATGGACATTAAAAGTCTGAGATGCTATTAGCCATACCAGAAGAGATAGTGATTAGGTAGTTGGATATATGAGTCTGGAGTTCAGAGGAGAGGACCGGGCTGGAGATAAAACAGCTGAGATTCAGACAACAGTTGGCATTTAAAAACAGGAGTCTGAAAGAAATCACCAAGGGAATGTGTGTAGGTAGAAACGAGAGGACACACAAAGACAGAGCCCTAGGGTACTGCAACATTTACTCAACAGAGAGATGAGGAGGAAGAACAGATCAGAACTTAAAAAGACTAATCAGTTAGGTGCATAGAAAACCATGAGAGTGGAATACCCTAGAATCCAAGCGCCAAGAGTCAGTTAAGCAGCTGACTCCTGACTTTGGCTCAGGTCAGGATCTTATGGTTCGGGAGACTGAGCCCCACGTCAGGCTCTGCGCTGGCAGCTTGGAGCCTGCTTGAGATTTTCTCTCTCTGCCCCCGCACCCCCCACCCCCGCTTGTGCTCTCTCTCAAAATAAATAAATAAATAAGCTTAAAAAATGTTTAAAATACAAAGTTAAGAAGTCAGATTGAGTAAGATGAAAGCTGAGAAATCATCATTGGATTTAGTGATGTGATAGACTGGCAGGGTGAATGCCACGTTATAACATGTTTGAGGAGAACAATGTTAGAAAAGTAAATTCATGGAATTCGTTCAAGAAATTATGCTGAAAGACCAGGAGAAAAATGGAGTGGTCACTGGACTGGGGAGTGGAATCTAAAGATTTTTTTTTTTAAAGATGGAAAAAGTAACAGCATAAATGCTGACAGGATGGTTGCAGTAGAGAAAAGCCCTGTAGCATTATCCTTGAGGGGGCGACAGCAGATGGGATGTGACAGTGAAGTCGGGTGGGCTGGCCTTCGGCAGGAGAACAGATGCAGTTATCTTTACTAATGGAAGAGAAGGTGTGCATGTGTACATACAGGTAGGTGAACAGACATCCTGGAAGCAGCTTACAGAAACCCCCTTCCAACCGCCTCAATTTCCTCAGAGAAATAGGGAGAAAGTTCATCAATGGAAAGTGTGATAGGGCAGAGGGCATTATAGTATTAGTTGGAAGAGAAAGGACACAGTATGAAATAGTACTTTATGAAAGTGGGAGAGCAAATAGCCTAAAAAAATACAGTGTGACTGATTACTAGTAAAGTCCGTAGGCTGGTCTTCTCCACCCCAGTTTGAACCCCCTGGTACAGGTAAAGATACAGAGCAGGTAAAGATTCTGGGATAATCAGGATGTTAGTTAGTCAAATAAGTACAATTAAGGGAGACATGAGTAGAGAAACTGAAGGAGTGATTACTATTGACTGACTAATGGAAAAGCAGAGGTTAAGGGGAAAGGAGTACATGAGGATAAAGAAAGCGAGTAAGATCAATAGACTTTTGGTCCTGGAGTGAGTGAGCTGGAAAAAGAGAATTGCATTTGGAATAGGATATTATAAATAAAACTGTTAAGTTGAAATTGTCATTAAAGTTAAGAATTTGTATAGCATAAAATCAGATCCTTGGGATTATTACCTTTAATAAGAAAGGTTTAGCAGAGAAGTAAAATGAGAATCCATATACCAGATCTAAGAGAATTATAGGTAGATGATAGAATACAGCTAGAAATTCCTCATCTTTCTCTGTGTAATTTATCAAAAACTATTAGAAAAAGTGAATTCCAGTATTTTAAAGAAAAAGGTTCAGGTTACAAAAATGCAATGTGATCGATAAAATAATTTTTAAAAAAGATTCAATTAACTTATTATTTTCCATGGTACCCAGCTTGTGCATTTAATTATAGTTCAAAATGTATCCATGGGTTCTAAAGTACCACACTTCTCTGCTTACAGTTATATGATGGAAGTACCTTAAACTAAAGCTAAGTGCCATCCTTACTTTAGTTTATCCCTTGATGTTATTAATTATTAATGAAATTAATAATTTCTGTATTTCCCAAACACATAGAAATCATTACTTAAAAGAAAAAAATCTTTCATATTTGAAAATTTCAAAGCAAACTATTGCCCAAACACATAAATACCCATCTGCATATTCTTTAATTATCTATTTTCAAATCCACCTACAAGACATAACTTTATATTCAATCTGTTGAACAGCTATATACAACTAATATGGCACTTTTAAGTAGCCAGAAAAAAATGATTCATGGTTTTCATCCTGCCATGCAACGTTTCTCAAAATCAATTCATAGTAAGTGTGCGTGACAACAGCACTTACTTGCTTTACTCACCTCCTTAATAGCATCTTCATTCGGGAGAATGGAACATAAGCATGTGATATAGGCTTGCTGGAAAGATGACACATTTGAAATTTCTTTAGATTCTGCACACAGTTTTGATAAAGCAGTGGCCTGAGGGATGCAGTTAGATTTCAATAAATGTTTTATTCGCATCTGCAGAAAGGAAGGTCCTTCTTGTGCAATCAATTTATTGACTAGGAAGAAAGGAAAAATAAAAGTTTGATAACATACCTCATAACATGTCAAGGTTAAGATGATAGTTTGATATATTTTGTTGTTGATTTTTTAGTGAATAAACACTCAGTTGGTATAACTTCAGAAGTGTATTCTGATCTCAATACTCATCTAACAGAGCAGATAGCAAGATAAATTAATTTTGCTAATGATTCCCACATTACTTGTAATTTTATTCTAAACACCAAACCTCTTAATAAAACTACTAATACTTTATCAAAATTAATTATTGGACTTCCTCCTCCCTCACTTTCTGATAAGGATACTAAGAAATATGGAAATGAACTATAAAGCATAAATGCAAGAAAAAAGAAGTAGCCTATGTAATATTAACAACTACCACTTGAACACTTTTATGAGGCTCCAAGTTTCAGGCCAAGTGTTTCTATATATCTCTCATTTATTCTTCACACCACCACCAAGGCAAGTATTATTATCCCCAGTTTAAGGTTAGGAAAATTAATATTCAGAGAAATTAGGTAACTTGCCAAGGATTCCAAAGCCAGTGGTGTTCTTTCCTCTAAACCAGGAATTTCTCAAAGTGTGTTCCACCGACCAAAAGACCTGAGAGATAGTCCTAGAAAAAAAAAGGATTCCTTGGTCAAATCTCTGAACAGTCCTGCAATAAAGAAAACTGTTCACTTTTATTTAACCCAACGTCTCCCAAACTGATTTGACCAGAGAACCCTTTTACACATATTATTAGTATAATGTAAAATATATGTTCCTGGTTCAGTACACACTTTGGAAAATGCTGCTCTGAGCAGTACTAAATATGAAGCATCTGAGCGCTGGTTTTTACAGTGTTCTAGACAATCCCACGATTTATGAACAGCAGATACTCAACAGGTGTGTGGCATCGTTAAACACTATTATTTAAAGAAGAGAGGTAAGAGTATCGTATGTCAAGACATAAACAAACTGCTTTGGGTGTTCCACCTAAAATGGTGTTTCTCAAACTTCAAAGTGCCTTCTGAATAACCTGGGGTACCTTATTATGCAGATTCTAATTCAGTAGGTCTGGGATGGGACCTGAGATTTTGCTTTTCTAACAAGTGTCTCAGTTCTAGACCCGTGCTACTATGTATACAAGCATGATATCTATGGAGTAGAAATCATTAATATTAATGATAAACCACTGTGGGGACAGGGATAAATGACCAGCCCAGTCTTTAACTACATCAGAACCATCTATACAGCTTTTTACATTCTTTTAAAAAACAAGTAATATCATACATGCACATCACATAAAATTCAAAAACACACACACAAAAAATGTATAAAGCTGCCTCCTTTCTGCCCTAACGCCAGTCCCCCAGTCTCCTTCCCCCCAAAACAATAATTGTTTCCAATTTCTTCCAGAAATATTCTGAGTACAGAGGACCTATTTCTTTTCCTGCTAAATATATCATATATATAGGTCATTCTCTATAGGTGGAAGGTGCCCATTTCCTGTGGTAGCTCAATAAGGTCTAGATTCTAGAGCTCCAACTCTGCAGATTTTGATTTAGCAGGGGAAGCCTGGGGAGCGGGAAGAGGAGGATACAGAATGTGTGTGTGTGTTGATTTTAAATTCCATAGATACTCTAATATGTAGTCAGGGTCAAAAAGTATGGCTGGAAAACAGATCACTTTTACGTGGATTTTTCCATTTTAGTCCCATAGGCACTAAATTCCACAAAATGAACTCATAATCACATCTCCCTATCAAATAGCTCCTCATTCCTTACTTCTAATTTCAGTAATGGTATTCTCTCAATCATACGGAAATGAAAGTTTGGCATTATCTTTCCTTGCCAACTGCATCCCTCAAATATTATTATATTCTTATTATATGCTAGCAATTCTTTTTAAAACTCCCCAATCAGGGGCGCATGGGTGTCTTGGTCAGTTGAGCTCTTGATTTTGGCTCACGTCAAGATCTCCCAGTGCGAGGGATTGAGCCCCACATCAGGCTCTGCACTGCTTTGGATTCTCTCCCTCTCTCTCTGCCCCTCCCCTACTAATGCTCTCTTATGTATCTCTCAATATAAATAAATAAGTATTAGGGGCTCCTGGGTGGCTCAGTCAGTTAAGCGTCCGACTTCAGCTCAGGTCATGATCTCATGGTTTATGAGTTTGAGTCCGGGGTCATGCTCTAGGCTGACAGCTCAGAGCCAGGAACCTGCTTTGCATTCTGTGTCTCCCTCTCTCTCTGCACCTCCCCCACTCACGCTCTGTGTCTCTCTCTCTCAAAATAAATAAACATTAAAAAAAATTAAAATAAACAAACATTAAAAAAACCCACCCAATCTAATGCTTTCATATTATTTCCTGCCACATCTGTCACCCCAGTATCCAATTCTGCCTAACATCAGAGTCTGCTCTGCCCTATCAGACTATAAACATTTTCACAAATCTCACCCTGAAAACAGGCATGTTATCCATACAACTCACCCTCTTCTAAATTCTTACAAACATTTTCACAAATCTCACCCTGAAAACAGGCATGTTATCCATACAACTCACCCTCTTCTAAATTCTTACAGCATTAAAAACACAATTCTCACAGGATTTTACTTCCTTCACTGTACTTACTTTTCTCTTTAAGTACAAAATAAAGGATTACAGCGTACAGAGATTACTGTCTCAGGTTTTAAATCACCAATGTGAGGTTGAATTAGGACTCTAACCCATACTAGCTGTGAGACCCTTGGACAAATTAACTGATCTCTCTGAGCCCCAAGTTCCTTCATCTGTTAAAAAAAAAAAAATTAGTAATATCCACCTTACAGAGCTGAATGAATCATAAATGAAATACCAGTAACACAGATAAGACATGTGGCACAGGGCCAGGAACAGAGTAAATGTGCAATACTAGTCACTATGATTTGTTTCTGTCTTCTTACTACACCACCAGCAATTTGTGAATACCGTGTCTTGTTAGCTTTTGTGTTCCCTCCAGCATTAAGCACAATGCCTTACACATTACAGAGGTTTAAAAATACATGTATTTAGCAACTGAGTGGTTATCATTCTTCAATCAAAAACTTTTTAGTATCTCCTCACCTGTGTTCAAATTCCGCCTCCCAATTTTAACTACGTGGCTTTAGGCATATGTAATGTCTCATCTGGCTTATGGACTAAATGAGGTAAGGAAAGCACTAATATGGTACTTGTCATCGTTTAACAAACACTCTAAATTGTAGAGGTAAAAGTAATTTACTCAATATACAATTATAGTTCAACCACTATATCAATTTATAATACACAGACCAATCTTGCATTTTAAAATTCATTTCAGGGGTGCCTGGGTGGTACAGTCAGTTAAGCATCCAGATTCTTGGTTTTGCCTCAGGTCATGATCTCACAGTTCATGAGTTCAAGTGCTGCATCAGGCTCTGTGCTGACAATTCAAGGCCTGCTTGGGGATTTCTCGCTCTCCTTCTCTGCCCCTCCCACACTAAGGCACTTGCATGCTCTCAAAAAAATAAACATTTAAAAAATAAAAAAAACAGGGGTGCCTGGGTGGCTCCGGTGGTTAAGTGGCTGACTTTGGCTTAGGTCATGATCCCATGATTCATGAGGTCAAGCCCTGCATCGGGTTCTACGCTGACAGTGCAGAGCCTGCTTGGGATTCTCTCTCTGCCCCTCTCTCAGTTGTGCTCTCTCTCTCAGGATGGATAAATAAACTTTACAAATAAATAAACTTTACAGATAGATAGATAAACTCATTTCAAGTTATGTATCTTAACTTTGTTTTTTAAAAAGAAATCTATCCATACATTCAATATTTTAAAAACATACAATAATGTGTACACTGAGAAATCCCATTCCCAATTGGGATTCCTTCTGTATTTTTTTGTCATTTTAGTATAAAATAAGTTTTAATCATATATGCTTTCTTCCATCTAGATTCACCAATTGAACTGTTTTGTCATTTCTTTGCTTTTCTTTTCTTTTCCTGAACCATTTAAACGTAAATTGCAAACATCTTGATACTTCATCACGTAAAAAAATGGTTAACATTTAAGGTCCAATTAAAAGCAACCATTTTTTTCTTTTCTGACAGGAAAACTTGTTTTTATTTTTACTGGAGGCTCAAGTGCCACCTGACAATTCATAAAATGGCTTCAGAAGTAGGGGGTAGAAGCAACACAAAAAATAAACTGGGGTGGGAAAGAAAAAGAACCAGGAGGAGGTATAAGAGCTAGTTCCTTGTCAGCCTGATTTGGGAAAGGAGTTGGTGACTCTGAACCAGGATGTATTCCTTCCTTCAACCTCTGGTAGGGGAGGGAGAGAACAAAAGGAGAAGGCTGTGGCTTTGGTCCTCCTGAGTCTCATAATGTCATAAGTTATGGGAAAAGGTTGGGGAGGGGCTGGGGAGGGGACAGGTCAGTTGGCAGATGGTAGCTGGGATCTCTCTATTATGGTGGGGGGGGGGCTCTCTGTTGTTTATGGTGGCTGAGGTCTCCTAGTCTTTTTTTTTTTTTTTAATGTGTTTTTATTTATTTCTAGGAGAGAGAGAGAGAGACAGCGTGAGCAGGGGAGGGTCAGAGAGAGAGGGAGACACAGACTCTGAAACAGGCTCCAGGCTCTGAGCTGGTAGTCAGCACAGAGCCCGACGCGGGGCTCGAACCCACGAACCGTGAGATCATGACCTAAGCGAAAGTCGGACGCTTAACCAACTAAGCCACCCAGGCGCCCCTGAGGTCTCCTAGTCTTCAGGCTGCCTGGATCCAGGTGGCTTTTGCCATTGCCACTGCGAGGAGGTGTAATTTTGTGACTCTTGGGGCTCAGGATGGAAACCATCAGTGGGACCGTGGCTAGGCTTGGTCTCTCCATCTCTATTGTCTGTGGTAGGCTGCTGGGGTGGCCTGGGGTGGAAAGGCTTTCAGTACCTGGGCTGGAATCTGGGTGGGAGAACGTGCTATTTCCCTGCTGATTATGCCAGGTAGAAGTGCCAACAACGGATTCTTAT